TCCAGTATAGCAAGGCTGAAAAAGTCATGGCAGCCATTTTAAACTCGGGGGAAATCCTACTTAGTAACACGACCATGTTACGTCTGCTCCTAATAATAATAGTTACATAGTTACAGCAATTATGATAACTATAATAATAATAATGTAATTTATTGCACAGCTGTGATACATAATTGGAATGTAAGAACATATGTGGCTTAACTTTTGCAAAAAAACATAAAATAAATAATAACAATAATTCTTAAATATTACGCATCAAATCTGTCTCATTGGTTGAACATCTGAAGCAACCTTTAAAAAAAAGAAAAAAATTAATAAGAATTTTAAAAATAATTAAAAGTCTCACTTCAAATGGACTTTCAGTTGAAGCTCTTATATCATCAAGACTGACCCCCTCGGCAATTTCAATGAGTCTCAGACCCTTATCCTTGTCAACTTCAAACACGCACTGTATAAGAGAGTGGTTGCTATGGTGATTAAATGCCCCGCCCACTAACCATATCGGTGATGATGGTATTGACGCAGTTCTTCCCAGTGAGAGGTAGGGTGCAGTTTTTAAGGATCTTTGCTCCACCATTCTGTTGCAAAAGAAGATGAAAATGGAGAGAATTATTACATTTTCTTATACACATACATGTTTGTCATGTTACATAAAAAGTTTGAACTGATTCCAATTACAATGGATTTTATAAAGTTACTCTGAAATCGGGCCAAAGTCCCTGTAGTACTACAGTACAAGGTCTTCAGCTAAATTTTGCCAAAAATGAAAAGGAGAGAATTCTCCATTATTTATAATTTTTTCTGATGCATATACATGTTCTTATGTTGTGTAGAAAGTTTGAACTGATTTCAATCAAAATTAGATTTTTTACAATTTTTAAAAGTTGCTTCAAAATTGGACCAAAGTCCCTGTACTACAGTACAGGGTCTTTGGCCAAATTTCACCAAAAATGAAAAGGAGAAAAACTTCCTTTTAAATAATTTTTCCTAATACATATGCATGTTCTTATGATGCTTAGAAAGTTTCACCTGATTCCGATCAAAATAGAATTTTTAAAAATTTTTAAAGTTGCTCCAAAATTGGTCTAAAATCATTAATCAGGTCCTCACTTTGGCTGTATGTTCCATTGTCACTACAACTTTACTTCCTTTGCAAGCGACCAGGTCCATAGCTCCGCCCATTCCCTTCACCATCTTACCCTAGAGCATAC